CTCACGGAACGCATTCAACCCATCCGGGTGGGTTACAACAGGGGCCCAATGATTGCCTCCGACTTTTCTCTGCAACCCGTCACTCTCTATGGATGGAGCGCAGGTCAGTAAGAAGGCCTCTTTTTTTTGTCACAAGACACAGGCCCCCAATTCGCATCACACTCCTCACTGGGGCCATCGAAAGAAATGTGTCCCTTAGCCCGTGCCATTAAATGCTTCAAAAATCAATCCCTGAAGCGGCCATTGGACTAGCGAATAAATGGGACGCTGTTCGGTGAAAAAATCTTCGAGCAGAGTTTGACAAAAAATTTTACGAGAAAATAAAATGATTTCTTGTAGCCAATTATCAACAACGTCAGAAGAAAGTCGTTTCTACATTTTTTTTTTATCCTCGAAGTGTAAAATTAAATTTCAGTGTGGTTCAAGTGATATTCACACCAAATTCAAGGTTGGTCACCATTTGGGAAAATAAATCTTTAAAAATTCGTCTGTATTCCCCGTTGAGAAAAGCTTCCTTTAATATTACGAATTTCTAGACCTAAAAAAGTTCAAGATGCGCAAAAAAAAAAGAAGCTAGAAGTGCTAAAATATATTGCAGCAAAAAATTCGATCTCGTGTTTGACGCCACGATCCATCACTTTTTCGTGAGCTGCTTTCAAATTTTCTCCTATACGTACAGCATCAAAGTTAACTTCCAATTCAGCTTTAATGTTAATAATTGTTTCAGGCGCGATTAAATTTCGAAAAATATTACTAAGGTCTATATGGAAGCTCGGTTGTCATTATTTCATTTAGAATGTGATTCATATATTTTCTGGTTGACTGAGGGATGCGATACGAAGAAGGTTTCAAGATTTCTAATCTGCAAGCGCTTCACTCGAGTTTTGTCTTCTATACCTCCGATATTGACGCAGTTTTTCCTATTTAAAATCTATTAATTTTTTGCCTTGGCAAAGGAAGATAAATTTCAACTGTCTGTATACCCTCAATTTCTTTTGACTTTTTAGAACACAATAAACCCCTTAGAATCATAACGGAGGGAAAATCCGACTCGGGTTGCAGACAACATTGGGCCCTGCTGCCCAATTCAACGACGGTTTCTGCATCAGCAATTTTGCGGCTTTGTCAAAATTCACTCGATCGCAAAACGCGCAGGTAATTAATTTAAAAAAACGAAGTGAAAGACCCTGTCTTCTCAACAGACCACAGTTCAGTTCTCTAATTTGGATTCATGCATTTTCCACATAAGTAACGTTTGAAATTGTATCTCCATAACTCGATAATTTTGTTGTCCTGTTTTCTGAATTTGAATCGAGTTAAATAAATTTCAAATTGCTTGCTTTTCCAGCGCGCGAAACATTCTCTGACACCCTGAATCATGTAAATACGGGACCAGAAATAATCTAAAGGCATGTTTTACCGATCGAACTGATCAGGGATAAAAAAGCCCAACCACAAACTTTTATTTCGACTACGAAGGTCGTATAAGTCACCAACCTAAAAGGGGTCCTTTTTTGTGTCTTCTTGGAAAATAAACTTCCTCTTCTTTATGGCGTAATGGGCGTAATCTCAGAGAGCTTTAAAAATATCAGAAAATATTCACTTCTTCTGACGTTTTCCCATATACTGCAGTTTCACGATTTTATTTCATTTTCGGCACCTAACATTTTGTTCTTGTGTTGATGATCAAGATGGCGATGCGGTTGATCGGAGCTGCAGTAACAACCAAATCGTCGGACAACACTGTTTACTTGGTTGGAACCGTGGCCGACTCCCTGTCGATCGTCAGTGACACCGACACGAGGAACATTCCGTCGACGGCCGAAGCCCCAGAATGGCTGCAGGTTCTCAGGTGGGAAAATTACCAATCTGTTCTCACCAGATCTGGAAATTGCGAAGACAGCAGTGGGGGTGGAGCAACAACTGACTCAACTACTTCAACAACTAAGTCAAGTGCTGCAACAACTGGCTCAACTGCTTCAATAACTAAGTCAAGTGATGCAAGAACTAGCTCAACTGCTGCATTAACAACCAGTTCGGTGAGATCAACGCAAAAGACGCAAGTGCTTTCCACCACCAGAAGTTCAGGAAATTCTCAATCAACAACCCGGACTACTCCTGTTACAACCCAGGAAGATGATGGCGGTATTAATGTTGTAATCAACAAATTGGCCGCAATTCGGCGCATTTGGTCAATCTTGAGAAACGTGTTCGGAGTTGCATCCAATGCTTGATTTGAGATTTCTCGACAACCGTGCGGCGTGATATGTGACGCACTGTGTTTTGGGCGTAAAAGTAAATAAAAAAGGTTGTGTCTCGAATGATTGCATACGATAATTTTTAAGCCGAAATTTGCACACGATATATATAGACAGAAAGAACTACTAGAGATTTCGTTGGCCCTTAATTTAAGACGGAACTGTGCACATTTATTTAGGAAATATGCTTCGAATGAAGGAAATTCAAAACGAAGCAAGGAGGAAACCAGCAGGCAACTAAAATCGCTTACCGTATTTCATTTCGGGAATAAGAAAAGAAAACAAAAATTATGAATTTTCACGAATACGCGAATAAATTGTGGCAAATTCCTCGGAAATGTAAGGAAATCTGTGGCATCTTATTGAGGGTAACGATTATTGACTGTTTAAAATTAGAGAAATGAGTAGAGAAGGTTGGTGTCCTCAGGAATATGAAAATTTTAAATTCATTGTTTGTTTTATTAAAGGGTTTAAGAATAATTCCCGCATGGGGGTTTTCCTTGAAAATATCTGTTTTTCAAGAGCCGGACAAATGTTCGGATTTGTTCGGAAGAAGATTTGGTGAACCCACTACCTATAGTCGATTCATAGCGCATTCTTCCATCCTATGATTCAAATGGATGGATTTTTGTATCTGTTCTTCATTTCTGTGAAGGGCATACACGTATTTTCCGGGTATAGTTATACTCTCGAATCAATCATTTTTAAAATTCAGACGTTCAAGGCGAAGCACTTGAAAAGACGGCTTGATTTTGTTGGTTTTCGATACAATTAAGCGATACCTGCCGTTTCTTAAATTGCTACCCGCACAATTTGCACATTTTCACAGAAAACCTTATGGGCTTATGTTATGAAAACCCTGGTAAATACAGTCATCTTTTGGGATTCAAACATTATATTTAGGTTTTTCAGCGGCGAAAAATAAATGTCTCGATTTTAGATGTAAGTATATGCAGCAGATTCATTCTGGATGAGAGAACCTAAATGCAGATGCGTGAGACTTCAGACGAGATAAAAATTCATACACCATATTGAATGAATCTGCATTGAACTTTCGAAATATCACGTACTTCATCCCTTAAACTTATTGAGGCACGAGTTTCAAACATCAATCAGCACACATTCTTTTGGTGATTGACACGACAAGGTTCGGTCTAAAGTTCGAAGATTTATACTTTGAAAGAGGTTTTCCGGGGAAAATATCAATCCAAACGTTGATATTTTGCAAAGCATAACCTGCAGATGTTTGAAAACGAAAAGTACGAATGATCTGATTTTTACTCACCCTATTTTCATGCAGAAGGACCGGCTTGAACCGCGGATCGTCTGTGTAAGTCTTGTTGCCCAGCGTTAGTAAGTCGTACTGCCCAGTTTTCATCCACGACACCTGCGAACACATACACAAAGAAAGGAGAAAGAAATGCATTATTTTCTCGACAACGTCCTTGACACCGATTTGCCCACTAGATGTCACTTAAGAACGAACAGGAAAAAGAAAAAAATCCGCGACGTCCTATATAAGCGTGGGAACAAATGATTTCCCACATCATCGGATTCATCTCATAATTTTCGTTTGCATGATCCAACTCTGCAGAAACTCGTTCACTTTCAAGAGCACCGGGAAGGTCCTCAACGGCAATTTCGTCCCTTGTAAAAATGGATATTCCATGTAGAAAGACGTATTTCAAGGGCTCTCAGACATCGCTCGGTTCGGATGGAACCGATTTCCCGGAGACTCCCGGGGTAGTAGAAAGATATCCGACCGCAATCTCATCCGAGAGTCGTCAGGTCGCGAGGAAGGAGTGCTGTGGAAATATTGCCCCTGGAGCCGCGATGACATTACATGCAATTGCGTCTTTCTGCTGGGACTTCGTCGGAAACCGATCCCCGTGGAGCATCGGAACACGGGTTGCAATTACTCCGCGGATACCCCGGGCACCTCGACCTAAGCGTCGACGACGAGGTAGAGTATAAGGAAAAAGAAAATAAAAAAGAAAGGGGAAACCCGCGCGTTTCCTCAGGAAAGGTGAATGGTGACACAAACTTCCACCAGCTCGGGTCATCTCGTGTAGGCATTTTCCCTTATTTTTCTTTCCTTGCCAAATTATTCTGCTTTCCCACTTCTGTTACTCCTGCTTTTGTGAATTCTGATTACGGCATTTTGACACCGATACAAAATGGTCAACAGTGTAATCATTAAATCCTGAAAAAGGAAGGATCAATTTGTTCAACGATTGGCGCGAAGTAAGAAACTTTTACCATCACCGAATTATTAAAATCTTTTTTTTTGGTCATCGTCCAGGAAAATATGTCGGAAAAGTATATAAGCAATGTTTCGGGAAAAATATCTACCAAATTAAGCTGACAGCTTGAGAATCATTCATCGGTTTTTCAATGGAATACAAAATCTTGGAAACCCGGCCAACTCCCTGAAGAAAATTCGTGCACCTTGAAAAATTTCCATAATGATCGTATCGATGCTCCTGGATCACAATCGTTCTACGTACTGAAATCGGATTTCGTGTAAAATGGATGAAATTTAACGAATATTTTTGCCACTTTATAGCATGAATTTATTTTAGAAATGGTGGTAAGGTTCAGTATCGGACAAAAAAAATCGGCATATCGTCTAGGACGGTGGTCCTTTGTTTTCGAAGCAGATACAAAGCTACTTTTCCTGCTGTGTAATATAGCCTTTTTGCACCTGACGGTGGCACTTCTGCTAAGACGTATATCCGTGTATTTTAGGAACCAGCCATGGAAAGAGCCGATCGAGACGTCAAAACATTATAGAGAGCATTTTGACATTTACGCCTGAAACCATCACCATTATAATTCTGAAGCGTTAAAGTGTCGTTCAAATTCTTCATTCCCGAATCGAAAAATAGACACACTATCGTTGAAAAGTGATGGACATGTCTGGAATTCAGAACTCTGAAAATGTTCTTTCTCCCGGCATCGTTACATTTCAGAGAAAACCCCTTTTTAGAAATTTCGGGAAGTATTTCCCTCGTCGGGGTTAAATGAGGCGTGAGACGCAGACACTCATTTTTTCTACAATTATATGCATTTCTTAGTGATGTCTCATCCTCACCAGACCGTGAAAATTTATCACCTCGTGCATAACCTATATAGTTTTAATTTCCTTAAATGCCGTTAATGCGAGGAAAAATGAATTCATGTGTCTCACATCAGACCACTTAACCCTGAAGCATGAAATATTTCACACCTTATCGGAGAAATATCTTTTTCTCGGAAATTGAACGAAACGCATCACGAGAAATTTTCACGCTTTACAGTTGAAAAAAGCAAAATGATGAGCCGTATAATCGTCCAAACCTTTCAAGATTTAAGCACTTGAAACGTTGGCGATGATCCATAATTTAATACAATAGCATGTTCAGCACGACAAAATCGATTTTTAAAAGAGAAAATCGAACGAAAATTTCGGGGTATTACTCGTATGCTGGCTGTTATGATTGTTGATGTGTTTCAAGAATTTAAAACATAGGCCAAATCCCTGCTCACAAATGCTGATGTGGCCATATCCTTGACAGTTTTGTGCAGATATGGACTGTAAAAATATGGCCTTCATTCCGAATCAGGAAAGCGGGGATTTAAATGTTTTAAATGGAAAGAAAATTACAGTACAGTACTGCATTGAAGCCGCATCCAAGCAGTAAAGCGGTGATTTAAATATTTTTAATGGAAAGACAATTACAGTACTGAATTTTGGTGCGTAAAGTACAAAATCAAAGCTTCTTCCATGTACAAGCTTTTGTTTGCAATTCTAAAGGGATATCATTTAGACACCATTTAATCCATGTTTGCAGAGCTTAAATTGTTTTAAATTTTTTTAACGATAGTGCGGAGCTCATTTTGGAATAAATTTTTTCGGCGGATCCATTTGAAAAATTAATTTTTGGTGACTTTACCTTTAGTTACGAAAACAATAGTTCTGTTTAATCATAGATCAAAATGCTTATTGAGAAATGGATCCTTATTCCTGCAATCAATTTATTGAAGCAACCGAGGAGCCAGCTTGAGAACCTTATTCTGCTCAAAGAATGAAAACCATTACCGTGAAAAATATCAAGAATAAAATGTGAGCATTTTTATCTGAAAAAATTTAGTTTTTAGCCATTAAACCCATATCTTTCTTTGAATGTCTCCTCAAAATTGGGTTGCCAGGAACTTTGCTTTTACACAAATACGAATATGCACTCCAAACAATTTTGCGTGTTTTTAATAAGTGCTTTGTGCCTTTTTGAATGAATGAATGAACAGAAAACTTTATTTTCCGTTTTTCACCATTCACTAGGTTTGATCAACATTTCCACATCTAAACCCCCTCCCCACCCAACCCAAATCCATTCAATCACTTCAGAGTGGGAAACAGAGAAATTAGATGCAAATGGATAACAAAAATGAAAGAAAAGAATTCCACAAAATAAAACTGCACATCTGATATGTATGCATACACCCCTTCTTTCCCTGACATTGGAAACAAAATATCAATAACCAGAATTGCAGCATAAGCCAGAATTGAAGTAATTGCAGCAGTTAATGAACCCAATTTAAGTGTATTTTTGTCCAACTAAGAAAAACAGCGTTGCATGGAAAAACGACTTCAACTGCTGAAAAAAGGTTTCGTTGAAGAAAAAAAATTAATCGACGCTTTTAATTGCAAGATAAGTTCTTTGGCATAATTTGCATCGCATCCCATCATGGACTTGAAGGAAATTTTTCCCAACCCGGCCATTGGTCATTTACAGATCCCCCCCCCCCCATTCTCCCTCTCTGTAACGGAACAAGAAGAATTGTTCGATTGGAGCGTCTTAATAGATTCGCATTTTTTCCTCCATCTCGCCTCATTTCTGTCTCTCTGTTTCTTTATGGCGGAGTTAACCTCACCATCGGCCAGGAAGAGGGAAGAAAAATCGTCTCTCAGCCATCACCTGACAGCGGACGCACCCTGCTAGGTACTCGAGCAAACGACTGGGGCCAGAAAATGTGTGCGGAAGCCGATATCTGAGTGCAATAACTCGCGGCTCCCCGTCCTT